TCGAGTCCAATTAATAAAGAACTTTTCGGGTTTTCAAACCCTATTAAAGAGAGACTTTAGGCACCAAGTTTGACATCTTGTCTTTTAATCTTTGATACACATTTCATCTTGTCTCTTTTGCACGAGATTGTTGACATACTCTTGGTGGGATTTGGAGCTTCGAGCAACCGTACTTAAAGATTAATAAATCATCTCTTTCTAGTTTGCTTTTCTCTATAGCTTTGTTTATGATTCTTTTATTTCTTCTCTTTAGCATGAGTAACTAAGTCCATTAGTAGGGTTGTGAGAACTATTATTCATGAATTTATGTGATTTTAGAATTTGAATCTATATTTGATTTTCGTTCATGATTAGCTTTTATCCTATTGCGCATAATTATAATCCTAATTTATTATATCGTCAGGCGTACCTCGATTAGTTAATAGATTTATAGGATAAAATGAGACAAAGGATTAGGTGAACCAACTAATCTTTTTCTTTCAATCGTTATTAAATTAACAAGTTAATAGGTGCTTTATGCTTTCTTTAATTGATATCTTGCATGATTATCGGGAATATTAATTTAGATAAATGAATATTAGTATTGCATAATCATTGGGTATTAATAATATTTGCATGAATGATTAGTGATCACAAGGAAATTAACTTTAGAGTTAAATAAAAAAATAACATAAATGATTGAATAAGAGAACCTATATGTTCTAAGTTTCTCTCCTATAAGTTCGACCAAGTCGTGTGTTGCGTTATTTGCTTTTATTCATAATTAATTTTATAATTAAATTATAATTCTTATCTAATTTCACATCTTTTAAACTCAAATAATAAAATTAAAGATATTTTAATAATTAAAAATCAATCTTTCTGGTACATTTTCTCTTTGTAAAGTATTGTAGCTCTATTTTTAAAAGATTTGAAATACACTAGACAACTAATTTAGTTGTATTGTTATAATAAAGTCCCATATGATATTGCTCATGATCCAATATAACAAGATCTTACAATACATATTAAAATAAATAGATATTTCATTATTAAGATAAGAAAATTTTAGAATTGCCAAAGATTGGAATTAGAAATTAATTGATTTATATTCTCACCAAATCAGTTTCACAATCATTGTTTTTTAAATTTTTAAAGAAATTGAGCCATGATTAACATTTATGCATCAAGTTGAATCAACTTGTAGGGGAGTGTTAAGATTTCTTTAATTGATTCACTGTAAATAATTAATATAAAATAATTTGCTGCTTTATAGCTAATTTTCAAAATTAGTTGCAAAGATTAGCTTAATTACAGGGATTTATGTGCCTTTGTTTTTTCTTTTCAGAAATACATTATTTACAATATAATGACCATTTTAACGGTCAATATAGATATTGTATGGCAAATAACACTTCTATTATCTCGATCCCAAGTCAATTTGAGACATGGAAGAGAGCCATACGCACTTGAAATAGCGAGGAAGCCATAGAAACCAACAACCCAATGACTTGCATGATCACACAGTGCGCCTCTGAACCTTGCCATCCTTGGGTTACCTACCGCACTCCCGAGGCAACAAGGCAGCGATAACAAACAACCACAATCCCGCAGTTTCCTCTAATGCAGCATTGCATCCGCTCCTTAGCATTCTAAAGAATGGAATTCTTTATAAATTCCAACAACTCCTAAATGCCACTTTAGGATAGCTAGCTTCGTTGGTAACATGCCTCCTTTATTTCTTTGTGTTTGTCGAGAAAGTGTCCACGAATCATGTAATGGATCTCATTAATAATCAGATTAGAAAATGATATTAATATCACAACTTATATTTATAAGATTTTATTTATTCAAAAATTAAGGAAAACTTCACATAATTAGATAAACTTAAAAAAATTCTCATTCATTTATTACCTTCTCAGTACAATAATTAAGTTTTCGGATATATAAACACTTTTGCCAACTTAATTAGGAAAATAATAAGCATTTTGTAACTATAGAAGTAGTAACCAAGAGAATTAAAGGCCTGTTTGCTTCTGTTTTAGTTTTAAATTTTTAAAACAATTTTAAAATATTTTTAAAGTAAAAAAATGTTTTTAAAAGCAGAAAACAAACAAGGCTTACTCTCTCTATATTCTTTTTTCTTTAATACTTTAGTATTTTTTTTGTTTATTTTTTATTGTCAGTTTATAAAACCACTGAATATTTAATATTTATTTACAATTGTACCCTTAATAATTAATTTTTCTTTGATAGAAGATAATAAACAAGTTAGATAACTAATATAAAAGATGAGATATAACAGAAAGTTAAATAATAACTTTATAAAATATAAATAATCATTCTCTTAATTTATGTTCAAAACCTAGAAATGACAATGGGTAAAGTACTCGATGGGTATCCACAAAATTTACCTACAATGGTAAGGTATTTACCCACTATACGAGTACGAGTATGGGTGTGGGTAAAAACTCACAAATTTTAATGGGGATGGGTGCAAGTATGGGTATCTAAGTACCCACCCCGTCCCATACCCGCATATATATATATATATATATATATATATATATATATATATATATATATACTTGAACTTTATTCTACAATTATGCATTAAATTTTTATATTATTATATTACTTATGTGAAGTTATATAAGATTAATATAAAAATTTATATTTTTGATAAAATACTTTCGTATAGTATATGAGTTAAAAATACTAATATTAATATTAATATATATATATACTAATTATATTATATTATTTTAATTAAATCTATTATTTTTCTTATAATTTCAAATTCAAAAGTTAAAAAAAAAAATTTATGTATCAAGTTTCTGTTGTTAGTATTGAACTTCTCTACTCTAACTCTATTCTCATTCTCAATGTCTGTCTCATTAAAACCTAACAACTATGAAACGTTATTCATTAGAATTAGTTGTCAATGTCGTCACAAGAGGTTACCAAGTAATCCCACACGAAGGGACAACCATTGTACAGATCTATTTCGTTGTCGCTCTGACATTGTCAATCGATCAAATTTCACACAAGATAGGGTTATCACTGACAAATAACTTGTGTGTTTAGTTTTGCTTACTGTTTCTAAGAATTTTAGTGTAAAAAATTATTATATTAAGATACATTTAGCATTTATGATCTTTGAATATTTATTTTTTATGTATGTTTGTACTTTGTTCGGCAACTACATATTAAATTTTTGTATTATTATGCTACTAATGTGAAGTTATATAAACATATTTTTCTTTATAAATATTTTTTTCTCAAACAAACGCGGGTAATAGGTATAAGATGGGTATACGGGTACCCAGAGAGTACGGGTACAAGGATTAATGTTCATACCTTCGCAGATATGGGGCCAGGTACGGATTTTTTTTAAAACGCGAGTATAGAAATGGGTACTATAGTACCCTACCCATTGCCATCCCTACCAAAACCTTAAATGTTAAAGAAAAAAACAAATGAACAGAGTACATTGATTGCACTTAAAAATAAAAATCGTGACTTACATAGTTACATTTATTTCATTTAAAGCTGAAAATGTTGACTAGGAAAATTAATTATATTTTATTACCCTTAAAAGAGAAAATAAAGTTTATAACTTGTTCATAATCAACTAATTACAAAACATTATTTTCAATTCAAAAATATTAATATTACAAAGTTAAATAAAGTATGCAAAGGTATGGTTTAGGATTCATTACCTAAACTTTTTATTTTACAACATTCTAACTAAAATCTCTGTTAACAAATATTTCTTCAGCCTAAAAGTATATGAGGTGATCAAGTTCAAAAACAGGTTAAAGAGAATTTCATTTAGTTTAAATTTCTTAAACTTATCCATTTAAAGTTTTCTTGAACGTCTTAGTTTGTTTTCTTATAATGAGCCCACTTAAAATTTAAAATAAATCTCTTAAAAAAATTAGATTAAGATACATCAATCCTAATTCACATAATTTATTGTTATTAAATTCATATCAATATCCTGCAAAATTAGTGAAAAGAAACAACTTAATGTTTGCTAGTTATAACTTTCAAACCCACGCAAGATGTAACCCAGCTTATGTACTGATGGTGCTCCTACTAATCAGAAGGCTTCGAATTCACATAATTGTTACGGTTCAAACTACAAGTCTTGCACATAAATCCATTACAACTTGCTTATTATATTTTTCTTTATATTGCTAATCCCATGTTCATACCTTCCTTCTTGTTGGAGGCATTACAGATGTTACAGAGTTAGTTGAATTTAGTTAAGAGGTAGGTTGGTTTTGCTACTTTCATGTAAGGCTTATAGAGCCTTATTTACACATTTTCCTTGTTTTATCAATAATATTATGATTGTTTCTTTACATTCTCTCTTAATTTCTTGTTATCTTAATCTAACCTATTTCTCAACAGTTATTTGAATCCAAATCTATTCAATACAGGTAAAAAAACATATATTAATTTGATAATTTTAAATAAAAATAATAATAATATAACAATTTTAAAAATAAAACAACTTAATTCAAAAGAACCCAGAGAACTAATATTACATGTAGTATAAATTAAACACTAAAAGTATGATTAAGTCTTTCTAAAAATATAACTACAATCGAAAGTCAAATTTAAATTATAATTATATTGTAATTAACAAACTTAAGTATGATACAACATCCAGTCGAAAAAAGGGGAAAAAAGAGTTATATTACCACACAACGATCATAACTCTGAAAACAGAGTTAAAAAAACATGTGCACCACGCGCGCTCATAGCTTCTTGTTCACTGTCACAGTGTGCGTATGGATATGGGCAAATAAAGCCAGCCATCAAGGAAAATGATAGCACGTTACCCCAGGACAAAAGATGCAACGCAAACTATTTGTTTGTTTTTTGGTGTTTTTTTGCGCTGACAGCACCAAAAAGATGAAACACTATTCGCACGTCTAATAATAATATTTATACACTTGTCCAATATTTTTATTTTTTATTATTTTATATCATTTATTATATTTTTAATTATGATGTTCATATATTTTTACATCTTTTAGGCTTTCTATTCTTCTTTTCTTTACAACATCACATTATTCATCAAATTTTTAACTTTTTCTCTTCTTCCTCTACCTAAGTAGTACACCCAAAATCTAGTGACATGCTTGAAATTTTTCTTGCAAGACATAACCAAACTTGGATTTTCATAACGAAAATCACAAACACTCAAACATCTACACTTGGAAATTTCACACCTAACCTAGCTATAAAGGTTAATGCTAAAATATCATTAGTTAATCAGCTATGTAATTAGTTAATGAATTAACAACATAATTTTTACGCAAAAAATAATGTCGATACACAAAATAATTAACACACTGTATTAACTATATAATAATTTAGTCATTATTAATGGCGTGGACTATTTAACCGCATGTAGGAAGAACATAAAGTGACAGGAAAAAGTTAAAAATAAAAAACTATACCCGTAAGGAGGGAACTTAAAACGGGACGAACTACATGAGTTGAGAGAGAATCATTTTGGCGCAGTGAGATCGTAACGGATATGGTTAAGCAGCACAGGAATTACGATATCGGGCGAACTCAACTGTGGCAAGTGACCCTCTGTGGGCATGACCTCGACGATGGTCTTTCCCCCAATGTTGCGTTGAAGATATTCGGCAACAACAACGGGTGCGGCTAAGTCCTTTGTGCTCTGTATGATGTGGCAGGGTACGGTGACGTGGCAGAGAATTGGCCTCATGTCGAACTGGAATATGGTTTGGGCCAAGCTGAGTGCTATGTCAGGTCTCATGTTGAATAAGGTTCTGCTGAATTCCTGCACCGCCACCGACTCCATGTCGCCGCCAATCACTAGCGGAGCGAACCCTGAACACCATGCCTTGTAATTCGACCGTATCCCATCGTATAGTTGGCTCAGATCTTCTTGCTGAAACCCTCCAAAATATTCCGGGTCATTCAGAAACCTGTACTAAAACACATCAATTTTGTTATACCTTCCCGCGCGCGTTTCTAATAATCATGTATTCATGTTTTTGTTTTATATGTATAAATATATAATCTTCAAGTATAAAACATGTTTAATATTTTATTTATTTAATACCTAAGATGATTCATAAATATAAAGCAAGAAGAACATACGATAGTAATATCTACTGTTTTTATTTTTCTATAAAAAATAATTAATTTATCAGGATTAATGAAATTAGTTATATGCTAAAAATTGTATTTTATTTTGAAAATACTTCTAATATTAAATATTAAACATGTGTCTTGATGATATAAGTTTTACAATAAATTAAGAGTATACATTTTTAATAATTAATGTATTTTAAAATGATTTTTTTTTATAATTAATCTCTTTTACTGAAAGAGATACTTGTTATAATCACACAAAAATACACTCAAAATAAGAAAATTAAATAGTGTGTAATTTAATTATGCGTTAATTTAATAAAATATTATTAATCATAACTTGTTTCAAAATTATTATCATAAAATTTACATCACAAGAGTTTACAAAAAGCATAAATTATTTTGAATAAAATAGAGGGAGTTTGGTAAAGAATTTAAAAATATCTGAAAATAATTTGTGGTTAGTAGTGTACCTTGGAGAGGCAGAGATCAAGATGAGCTTAGTGAAGAGATGAGGGTGAGAGATGGAAGCGAGGAGACCCACCATAGCTGAAAGAGAGTGGCCAACGAAGATGCAAGATTGCACTTGAAGCTCTTCCAAAATGGAAAGTAGGTCATAGACAAAGCCTTCGATTGTGGAGTATCGTTCAAAGTCGAAGTAGTCAGGGTTTGTGGTACCAGCACCCATGTTGTCATATAGAATCACGCGGTAATCATCGACTAGATGCGGTACCATGTGCTTCCACACAGATTGGTCCGTGCCAAAGCCATGAGCCAGTATCACGATTTGATTCCCCTTTCCAACTACTCTTACGTTATGAGCTTCTTCAACGATTCCCATCTTTCCTTTTCTCTATTCGTGTCGCTCTCAATTTTTTGTCAATTTAGAAGGAAGGTGCATAGCCTTCAGGGGCTTGAAAATTTTTTTCTTTTGGGATGGTTTTCAAACTTCCGACATCTTTGGCTAATTTTGTCCGCCTTTCATGTCATAACCGTGGCCGAGTAATTAAGAAGGGGGGTGGGGGGGAGGGGAATTTATGGTGGTGGAGTTGACATTGTACAATTGATGCAAAAGCCAACTTGCATAATGCGGAGCGTGAAATTCCACGTGACAAGACGTTGGCATGTAGGTGCGGTAAATTACGTTGTATTTAACTTGGATAAGTATCACATTCATAACTATTTTGGTCCATGGGCATCATTTTATCTACCTCTCTCCTATATGCGGAGGGTGGAATTAGAATTTCAGTTTTCAGATTTATGTGGCTAGGTTAAGATACTCAAATGTGATATTTATTTATAGGGTAAAGTAATTTAAAGAAATTTTCCTTTTGAAATGTGCTCCGACAAGCACAAATACAGAATAAACTTGTCGCAGAAAATTTTCCACATTCACGTATCTTCAGCCTCCCATTATTGGAGATGTTAGATTTAGCATGCAGAGCACATGGCACTTGCTTCTCTCTAGGCAAACATATCTACAGTCAGATTCGGTAAGTGTTGTTTCTTTTTTGGTAAGACGGCTATAGATTTATTAAATTCATGTTAAAATTTGCTTTAATGTAAAATTTACATAATTTGTAGAATTAAAATGTGTTATATTCAAGTAAATTATAATCTAATTTAAACACATGCACATTTACTAATAAAGATTAGTTTAAGTGATAAGCGACTCAATATCATTTAACTAAAATTTTAAATTTAAGTTTTTTATATGTAAAAAAAATTTAATAGTAAACTTATCTGCTATATCTAAGTATGTAATACAGGTTAGATCATATTAAATCGGATGAAAAAAAAAATACATACACACTTAATATGTTTACTTACATTACAGGTTTTTATAAGGTATTTAGTATTTTTTTTTTTCATTTTTCTATTAACAGTACAAAAAGTTGTCATTTAGTAATGTATAAAAATTATCAAGAGTTAAATATATTTTTTGTTAGTATAGTCATTGTCTAATAAATTTTTTTTATTAATATATACCTTGAAAATCTTTACTAACACTAAGTATTTTGATAGTATATATCAATATTTTTATTAACAAATTATTTATTGATATAATATATCATTTTATTAGTATAATTTTTTAAAAAGTATACTAATAATTTAATTTTTATTAGATAAATATTATATCAATAAAAATTATCCTAATACTTTAACAATTTTTGTTTCTTAGCAAATGAGATAAAAAAAATTTCAGTGAAACCTACCACTCTCCTAGTGTTTCCGAATGAAATGAGGATTTCTTTAACATTACTCGAATAGCTAGTAGGTTTCCATATAGACCATAAGAAAATTTGAAAGATTAAAAATTTCTCGTACAACTTATATAATCAAAGCCAAACCCGAACACATTTGAATAACTATATTATTGAAGACAGTGATTGTTGGAAACGATAGAAATAAGAAAAATTAAGTAAAAAATGCACTAACCAGGAACATGAAAATATATTCTGACTGTTTTATCTTGTCAATAACTTTAATTAAAATTTTATATTTTTTTTGTAATTTGAATTTCTTTCAGTATCTCATTTGTGTCACTGTTGTACTCTGTTAATTTGTTTTTGTGTTCATTACGTACATGTTTAGTTCAATGAAGAGAAACAGGAAAAATAGACTCTTATCCATATGTTTTTATGGCAATTGAAATGGACAAGATCATTTCTAGAATAGTAGGAATTTTATCACAAATGTAATGGAAATCCATTTCATTTATCTTTTTTCAATCATTCCGTTTCTCTATAATAATAGGGCATTTTCTTTTTACACCACATGCTTTTTATATGAAAATTTTATTTCGGAATATATTCCTCCAAAAAATAAATCTTAGAAATGATTCGTAAATCATATTTCTAGAATTTAATTTTCAAAAAATAAATTTTAAAAGTAACTTGCAAATTACTTTCAAAATTTTATTTTAAAAACAAAAAAAATACTTATGAGATACAAGTTAAAAAATGGTAGGTGCAAAAAAAAAACTCTCAGAAGTTAAAGTTACAGAACACATTCCACCTACCTATGTAGCCCATTTCTCTTTTGGATTAATCTGCAATTTTAAACCCATAGCAGTATGTCAACTCAGGCTTTCTCCAAAATCGCCATATAAAGGGGAAGCATAAGAAAAATATAAAAAGAAAGAAAGAAAAAGAAAATTAGAGTTGAAGGGTCCCCATTCTTTTCTGAACCATTGAAGCCCCACAGAGGTTCTTAAAATTATGACTAGAAAATGATGTCATAAGTGCATGTATTTAATCTTTATCTATCACTGTTGTTGGGAAGAGAGTTGATATCATTATTGAGCTCATGGGTCAAAGGGAATGCTGCGGTTGAATCAATCCATGTAAACGAAGAAACTATATTATGTATTTTCTAGAGGCATAATTAATGGAAATGTGGCTAATAAGGAAACTAAAGAACATCACTTCCCCAATTTTTATTATTTTTAGTCATTAGAACTGATTTTAAGCGTTTAATAATAATATTTTTTTATTAAAAATGTAAAAGTTCATTATTAAACATGTGGATTAACTAATGTGAAATCTTTTATCTTAATAAATTTTATAATGATTTTATCTTAATAAAAATATAAAAGTATAATAAATATTTCTATAATAAATTTTATTATTAATAATTATTTAAATTCAACGCTAAAAATTAATATAGACATTCTCATTTTTTTTAACACGTTCAGACACTAATTTTAGCCAACAAATTAGTCATACAATATTTGTTCTCCTTTCTAACCTTTTCTTTAATTATTATTGATCATGGTTAAAAAAAATTTATAAGTGTAATAAATATTTTTAGTAAATTTTATTATTAATAATTATTTAAACACTATTCTAAAATGTTAATGTTCTATTTTTCTAACTCATCCCAACACTAATTTTATACAACATTTTTAGTCATGCGATGCATGTTTTCCTTTTTAACCCTTTCTTCAAATTATTCCTTTTTGTTTTTACATATTCATATATTAAGAAAGTCTAACAACGATCAAAAGCATTTTTTAATTAAGTCTTCTTCTGTTAATTTTTTAATTAAGTAAAAAGTAGTAAATGAATTATTTTTCTCTTTTATATTCGTTTTAATTAAAACAATTTTTTACATATAAACATAGAACTTATAAATAAAAATAAGACACAATGATAACTTCAAATTAATTTAAATAATAAACTTGTAAACACATTGAAATAATAAAATATATTTTAAAAAAATACTAATAATTTGCATATTTGAATGTAAAATTATGAAAAAATAATTAAGTATTATAATTCTATAAATATATAATCATATATTATAAATAAATAGTTGAGTTCGAAATAAAAATTATATTTATAAATAAAAGTTTGGTTTAAATTGGATGGATAGATTTTTAAAATTTAATCTAGTAAAAATAATATCAGATTTTTCATTTGTTATTTTTTATTAATTTAAATTTTATTCTTTTAGTTTAATTTATACCACTTACATTAACTTAGATCAATTAATCAACATTCTCATCATAAATTAAAATATGATAGGCATTAGAAACATTGTTAAGATGTCAAGGTAGGCATTAAAAGTCCTTCTACACGAAGTTCCTCTAAATATAGTAGGCTACATGTTTTGAATCAAGTAAAATAAATATTGTGTGTAATTATACACACAAATATAACTGAATATAAAGTCCTAAATTAATGCCTTGTGTTGCCTAGAATTGTGATTTAATCACGTGTAATTAATGGCTTGAGTGACCTTTTTACCAATTCCAGATCTTTTAAAAAAATGTTAATAATACAAGATAATATATACATGTTATAATAAGATAATTTAATAATTAAAAAGCATAACTAATTATTTCTCATCCTCTATGAACAGGATATTTATTTCATATACTTAACCTTTTGTTAGCTTGAAAATACGATTTTGATTTATTTTACATAGACATTTGACAGTTTATTCACTTAACTTGCAACATGTTTTTTAGGAAATTCCTTGTCAATTATAATGAAAGAAAGAACCAGCAAAATGGAATTAAAATTTACTCTCAAATCTACACATGTTTACAAATCCACAAATTAATAGAAAACAATATGGAATAGCAATTTACAAACAAATAAATTAAAAAAGTCAATAATTAACAAACAAGTACTCGTAAACAGGTAAAAACATACACACGTCAGACCAAGAATTAAGCTTTGAGCAACACACTAATCTTTTAAGTTTTAAATTCGTGGAAAAAAGCTGAAGCCCATCAGCGTAACCCTTAGCATAGGCATCATTGTCCGCGACAAGGTACAATGTTCTCTATCTTATTAAAATATTTCTTCATTGACCCAAAAATAAATAAAAGTATTTCTTCGACACAGTCGATGCCTATTCACTCAAATGCTTCAAATTGTCGTCAAACTTGGTAGACGACAGATCCTTATCATCCAAATACCCTTTGATATTTTTTTTATGGGATTACTTGAAAGTGTTTGTTTTAATTTTATTGAATGAAGTAATTCGATAATATTTTTGTTATTTTAATAATTTTAAATTTTTAAGTCTTTACAATGAGTATATTTTATTAAAAAATATAATTAAAAATTATTAATGTTATAAATATTTTTAAAAAATTATATAAAAAAATTTCTAAAAGTACCTCTTACGAGTTTAATAAACTCTACCTTCATATTTCGTGTATCAAGAGAGGCAAGCATTAGAGTTAATTAATGGCTTAGTTGTGAATTGTTTGTGGCCTCAATGATGCTTTGTTACAGGCCCATACGTTCTTTGTATCCTAACTTTGAATATCTTCTTTACCAGATTTCACAATCTTAACGTGACAACTGTATTAATTACATAACGAAGCTTAGACATTAATACTTTTAATGATAATTTAATAGTCAATAAATTCTTCCATCGCATGTTAGTATTGTCAACGGTTTAAAGTAACGTGCAATAAAGTACGCAATTAATGCCACATTAGCAATGGCATGGCAAAAAATATTAGGATTTCGTTAATTCGATTATTTTAAATGTGGGATCAGTATCATAACTTAAAAAAATAGAAAAGAAATTTTAC